GTCACCCTCCCCGCCAGTCCACCAGGAGGGGTCACACTCCCTGCCAGACCACCAGGAGGGGTCACACTCCCTGCCAGACCACCAGGAGGGGTCACACTCCCCGCCAGACCACCAGGAGGGGTCACCCTCCCCGCCAGACCACCAGGAGGGGTCACACTCCCCGCCAGACCACCGGAGGGGTCACACTCCCCGCCAGACCACCAGGAGGGGTCACCCTCCCTGCCAGACCACCAGGAGGGGTCACACTCCCCGCCAGACCACCAAGAAGGGTCACCCTCCCCGCCAGACCACCAGGAGGGGTCACACTCCCCGCCAGACCACCAGGAGGGGTCACCCTCCCCGCCAGACCACCAGGAGGGGTCACACTCCCCGCCAGACCACCAGGAGGGGTCACACTCCCCGCCAGACCACCAGGAGGGGTCACCCTCCCCGCCAGACCACCAGGAGGGGTCACACTCCCCGCCAGACCACCAGGAGGGGTCACCCTCCCCGCCAGACCACCAGGAGGGGTCACACTCCCCGCCAGACCACCAGGAGGGGTCACACTCCCCGCCAGACCACCAGGAGGGTCACCCTCCCCGCCAGACCACCAGGAGGGGTCACACTCCCCGCTAGACCACCAAGAAGGGTCACCCTCCCCGCCAGACCACCAGGAGGGGTCACACTCCCCGCCAGACCACCAGGAGGGGTCACCCTCCCCGCCAGACCACCAGGAGGGGTCACCCTCCCCGCCAGACCACCAGGAGGGGTCACCCTCCCCGCCAGACCACCAGGAGGGGTCACACTCCCCGCCAGACCACCAGGAGGGGTCACACTCCCCGCCAGACCACCAGGAGGGGTCACCCTCCCCGCCAGACCACCAGGAGGGGTCACACTCCCCGCCAGACCACCAGGAGGGGTCACCCTCCCCGCCAGACCACCAGGAGGGGTCACACTCCCCGCCAGACCACCAGGAGGGGTCACCCTCCCCGCCAGACCACCAGGAGGGGTCACACTCCCCGCCAGACCACCAGGATGGGTCACCCTCCCCGCCAGACCACCAAGAAGGGTCACACTCCCCACCAGACCACCAAGAAGGGTCACACTCCCCGCCAGACCACCAAGAAGGGTCACACTCCCCGCCAGACCACCAAGAAGGGTCACACTCCCCGCCAGGCCACCAGCAGGGGTCACCCTCTCCTCCAGACCACCAGGATGGGTCACACTCCCCGCCAGACCACCAGCAGGGGTCACCCTCTCCTCCAGACCACCAGCAGGGGTCACCGTCCCCGCCAGACCACCAGCAGGGGTCACCGTCCCCGCCAGACCACCAGGATTGGTCACACTCCCCGCTAGACCACCAGGATGGGTCACATTCCCCGCCAGACCAACAGGATGGGTCACACTCCCCGCCAGACCACCAGGATTGGTCACACTCCCCGCCAGACCACCAGGATTGGTCACACTCCCCGCCAGACCACCAGGATTGGTCACACTCCCCGCCAGACCACCAGGATTGGTCACACTCCCCGCCAGACCATCAGGATTGGTCACACTCCCCGCTAGACCACCAGGATGGATCACATTCTCCGCCAGACCAACAGGATGGGTCACACTCCCCAGGGAGTCACAGGAAGTGTGGTGCTGTGGGCAAGGATAAGAGGGAGTGTAGTGCTGTGGGTAAGGATAAGAGGGAGTGTGGTGCTGTGGGCAAGGATAAGAGGGAGTGTGGCGCTGTGGGCAAGGATAAGAGGGAGTGTGGCGCTGTGGGCAAGGATAAGAGGGAGTGTGGCGCTGTGGGCAATTCCTCTGATAGCTGGTTCTTGGATCCACTTGCTTCTATAAACTCTTAATACTTTTCCCTGTTCAAATACAATAAACTTTGAAATTCAGTTGCTTTGTTAGGACTTTCTTGTATAGGAAGTGTTTACCAGTTTCAATAAATTCATGTTTATGAGCTACAAAGATGTTTTAGTATTAACTGTAATCGTGTTTTGTTCACAGAGTATACTGCTACAGTTCGGGGTTTCCATCCCTTTTGCTTTACTGTCTGATTTACTTGTCAAATTACCCTTTCTTGAGTCTTATACTCTTGTGATGGTATCACTGGTAGGGTGAACATATGCACGAGGGCCTAGCAGCTAGGTGAAGGCCACTGTCCTTCTCTCTACCATTTGCTGGGAATAGCTGGGCACACACAGGTCAGCCCATCAACCCGTCCTCTTAAAAATAACGTCACTTTTGGCTCGTATGCGCACTATGGCCAAATTTGGGAGCTGATAGCGAGTTCTGAAGCCAGAAGACTTGATTAATTTGCCATCAGCATACTGACGGTAAAAAATGACTAGGAACTAACTTTCTTAGTGTCGTCTAGCACCCAGCATCTGAAGGCCAGTATCAGTCAGGCGGTGGCACCTTAGGTTAACTGTTGGGTGACCTTGGGCTCGAGAGGAGAGTGTTGGGTGACCTTGGGGTCGAGAGGCGAGTGTTGGGTGACCTTTGGGTCGAGAGGCGAGTGTTGGGTGACCTTGGGGTCGAGAGGTGAGTGTTGAGTGACCTTGGGGTAGAGAGGTGAGTGTTGGGTGACCTTGGGGTAGAGAGGAGAGTGTTGGGTGACCTTGGGGTAGAGAGGAGAGTGTTGAGTGACCTTGGGCTCGAGAGGCGAGTGTTGGGTGACCTTGGGCTCGAGAGGCGAGTGTTGGGTGACCTTGGGCTCGAGAGGCGAGTGTTGGGTGACCTTGGGGTCGAGAGGCGAGTGTTTGGTGACCTTGGGGTAGAGAGGAGAGTGTTGGGTACCCTTGGGGTAGAGAGGTGAGTGTTGGGTGACCTTGGGGTCGAGAGGTGAGTGTTGAGTGACCTTGGGGTAGAGAGGTGAGTGTTGGGTGGTCTTGGGGTAGATAGGCGAGTGTTGGGTGACCTTCGGGTAGAGAGGAGAGTGTTGGGTGACCTTGGGGTAGAGAGGTGAGTGCTGGGTAACTTTGGGGAAGAGAGGTGAGTGTTGAGTGACCTTGGGGTTGAGAGGTGAGTGTTGGGTGACCTTGGGGTTGAGAGGTGAGTGTTGGGTGACCTTGAGGTCGAGAGGTGGGTGTTGGGTGACCTTGAAGATGCTGCTGTAGCTAAAATGATTTCAAGGATATATTTGGTAAGACTTTGTAGCATATTAGTGCTTGAAACAGTTTTGTCATCCGCTACAATGTAGGATAATGCATATTGGATACAACGTAGGAACAATTTCTCTATTTCTTGGTCATAATATATATATTGTGTATAACAATCAGCCCAACATAAAGGATACTTACGATATTTTAGACTTTTCTCTCTACCCCGGTCCCTTAACCTGCCCGCTTGGGAACCCCTCCGGTCACCTTGCCCAGACGGTAAGGCGTCCAGGCCAGTCTGTATGACTAGTAGGAGAGCCAAGCCAGTCTGTATACCTAGTAGGGGGGACAAGCCAGTCTGTATGCTTACTAGGAGGACAAGCCAGTCTGTATGCTTACTTGGAGGACAAGCCAGTCTATATGCCTAGTAGGGGGGACAAGCCAGTCTGTATGCTTACTAGGAGGACAAGCCAGTCTGTATACCTAGTATGGGAGACAAGCCAGTCTGTGTGCCTAGAAGAAGAACAAGCCAGTCTGTATGACTAGTAGGAGAGCCAAGCCAGTCTATATGCCTAGTAGAAGAGACAAGCCAGTCTATATGCCTAGAAGGGGGACAAGCCAGTCTTTATGACTAGTAGGAGAGACATGCCAGTCTATATGCCTAGTAGGGAGGACAAGCCAGTCTGTATAATTAGTAAGGGGACAAGCCAGTCTGTATGCCTAGTAGGGGGGACAAACCAGTCTGTATGCCTAGTACGGGGGACAAGCCAGTCTGTATGCCTAGTAGGGGGGACAAGCCAGTCTATATGCTTAGTAAGGGGACAAGTCAGTCTGTATAGCTAGTAGGAGGGGGAAAGCCAGTCAATATGTCTAGTAGGGGACAAGCCAGTCTATATGCCTAGTAGGGGAGACAAGCCAGTCTGTATGCCTAGTAGGGGGGACAAGCCAATCTATATGCTTAGTAAGGGGATAAGCCAGTCTGTATGCCTAGTAGGGGGGTACAAGCCAGTCTATATGTCTAGTAGAGGGACAAGCCAGTCTGTATGCCTATTAGGGGAGACAAGCCAATCTGTATACCTATTAGGGGAGACAAGCCAGTCTATATGCCTAGTAGGAGGAATAAGCCAATAAGCCATCTACATAAACACATCACTCGTCTTCCAGCTCGCTCTCCCCGCCTGCCAACACACTCGATGAGAAAGTCAAGCAAGTCACTAACAACTTGTCCTCTTAAAAATAACGTCGCTTTTGTTCGTTTACCAGTATGGCCGAAAGTGGACGTAATATGAAAATGAAAAAACAAATGAAAATAAATTTGGGTTTATTTTTCTCAACAACAGTAAGTTAAGGGTCCTCTGATAGGTTAGGTGGGCAGGAAATTCTCATAAAGTTTCAAAACGTTATAAAAAACGTTAATGGAAAGTTTCTTTTTCTAACCTTACCGAGTACGCCGGACGACTCAAACAGAAAACGGGACAGTACGTCACTTTTGTGAGTCGATTTCATTTCAAATTACGTCCAAATTTGGCCATAGTGCGCATACGAGCCAAAAGTGACGTTATTTTTAAGAGGACGGGTTGCTCACTATGCAAGTCAGCAATTAGGCCAACCAGTCGCATAATCTAATCACTCGTTATCTTAAGTAAAAACTCCAGCAACTCAACCAAAAAGGCCAGTCAACAGCCAAAAAGCCAGTGATGTACTCACAGCACTCCTCCAGCTCAACACAGTCAACAAGCCAGCTTACAAGCCAGCCTACAAACCAGCCTACAAGCCAGCCTACAAGCCAGCCTACAAGCCAGCCTACAAGCCAGCCTACAAGCCAGCCTTGAAGCCAAGGTAACACGCCAGCCAACAAGCCAAGGCAACAAGCCAGCTTACAAGCTAAGGCTACAAGCCAGTCGGTAAACTAAGACAACAAGCATGCGTACAAACCAAGGCAACAAGCCAGACTATAAGCCAATTCAACAAGCCAGCCTACAAGCCAAGACAGAAAGCCAGCCTACAAGCCAAGGCAATAAGCCAGCTTACAAGCTAATTCTACAAGCCAGCCTACAAACCAAGACATCAAGCCAGCCTACAAGCCAAGACAACAAGCCACCAGACAAACCAAGACAACAAAACGGCCTACAAGCCAAGACAACAAGCCAGCCTACAAGCCAAGAAAACAAGCCAGCCTACAAGCCAAGGAAAAGAAGCCAACCTAAAAGCCAAGGCAACAAGCCAGCCTACAAGCCAAGACAAAAGCTAGCCTACAAGTCAAAGCAACATGCCAGCCTACAAGCTAAGGCAACAAGCCAGCCTACAAGACAAGGCAACAAGCCAGCTAACAAGCCATGGAACAAGCCAGCTTACAAGCCAGACAACAAGCGAGACAACAAGCTAGACAACAAGCAAGACAACAAGCAAGACAACAAGCAAGACAACAAGCCACACAACAAGCCAGACAACAAGCCAGCCCACAAGCCAGACAACAAGCCAGCCCACAAGCCAGACAACAAGCCAGCCCACAAGCCAGACAACAAGCCAGCCCACAAGCCAGACAACAAGCCAGACATCAAGCCAGACAAGAAGCCAGACAAGAAGCCAGCCACAAGCCAGCCCACAAGCCAGACAAGAAGACAGCCCACAAGCCAGGCAACAAGCCAGCCATATACTCACAACACTCATCTTCCAGCTCGTCCTCCCTGCCCACACAGTCGACCTCTCCGTTACATCGTCGACTGCGAGGAAGACACTTGCCGTCGCTGCACTGGAACCCTCCCTTGGGACATCCTGTAATGACGGATAGTGAGGGTAAGTGAGAGAAGGTGAGGGACGGAGCGGGGTGATGGAGAGAGAGAGAGATATGGTAATATGGAGGTGAGAGATGAAGGGTAGGAGTGTGAGGGTGTAACGGAGAGGGGTAGGTGGCTTCTTGCCGTATATAGGTTAACTTTGGTGCGACAGGACGCCACCTCTCTCTCTCTCTCTCTCTCTCTATATATATATATATATATATATATATATATATATATATATATATATATATATATATATATATATATATATATATATATATATATATATATATATATATATATATATATATATATATATATATATGTCGTACCTAATAGCCAGAACGCACTTCTCAGCCTACTATGCAAGGCCCGATTTGCCTATTAAGCCAAGTTTTCATGAATTATTGGTTTTTCGACTACCTAAAAGCTACCTAACCTAACCTATGAGGTAACTTTAAAATTCGGTTGCCTGACCGAACCTAACCTAACCCTACCTAACCTAACCTAAGGTAGGGTTGGTTAGGTTCGGTTAGGTTAGGTAGCCAAAAAAAAAAATGCTAGGTAATAGGTAGCTTTAGGTTTTATTAGTTAATTTTAATTCCAATAAAAAAAAATGTTAGGTAGACGAAAAAACATTAATTCAGGAAAACTTGGCTTATTAGGCAAATCGGGCCTTGCATAGTAGGCCGAGAAGTGCGTTCTGGCTACTAGGTACGACATATATATATATATATATATATATATATATATATATATATATATATATATATATATATATATATATATATATATATATATATAAAATATATATATATATATATATATATAAATATATATATATATATATATATATATATATATATATATATATATATAATATATATATATATATATTATTAAATATGACCGAAAAAGTAAGATTAATAATTCTAACACAAATTTTCTCAATCTTTCGTACATTACTTTTCACTGTTGGAGGTAATTCAAAAATCAATTCTCCAAAATTCATTTTTATTTCTAGTCTGACGCGACACTTGGCGCGTTTCGTAAAACTTATTACATTTTCAAAGACTTCACAAATACACAACTGAATAGAACTTACACATCTCTGATATTATATCTACATTTGAGTGAGGTGGATGGGGTGAGGTGGCATTAATAGGGTATTAATAGGGTATCATCAACACAAGACAGAACACGAAACAATGGGTATTGAATAGAAGTGATTGTAGAAAGCCTATTAGTCCATATTTCTTGATGCTTCTATATTGGAGCGGAGTCTTGAGGTGGGTAGAATATAGTTGTGCAATAATTGGCTGTTGATTGCTGGTGTTGACTTTTTGATGTGTAGTGCCTCGCAAACGTCAAGCCGCCTGCTATCGCTGTATCTATCGATGATTTCTGTGTTGTTTACTAGGATTTCTCTGGCGATGGTTTGGTTGTGGGAAGAGATTATATGTTCCTTAATGGAGCCCTGATGCTTATGCATCGTTAAACGCCTAGAAAGAGATGTTGTTGTCTTGCCTATATACTCGGTTTTTTGGAGCTTACAGTCCCCAAGTGGGCATTTGAAGGCATAGACGACGTTGGTCTCTTTTAAAGCGTTCTGCTTTGTGTCTGGAGAGTTTCTCATGAGTAGGCTGGCCGTTTTTCTGGTTTTATAGTAAATCGTCAGTTGTATCCTCTGATTTTTGTCTGTAGGGATAACGTTTCTATTAACAATATCTTTCAGGACCCTTTCCTCCGTTTTATGGCTTCTCAAATGGTTTCGTTGAAGACATCATAAGAAGGAAAGTGAAACGCCATGCAACCTCTGAAGAGACAACTAACACAACACCTATACCCCCCTATTAGACTATTTTACAGGAACTTCTTTTCCACAGCTCATAAAACGGAGGAAAGGGTCCTGAAAGATATTGTTAATAGAAACGTTATCCCTACAGACAAAAATCAGAGGATACAACTGACGATTTACTATAAAACCAGAAAAACGGCCAGCCTACTCATGAGAAACTCTCCAGACACAAAGCAGAACGCTTTAAAAGAGACCAACGTCGTCTATGCCTTCAAATGCCCACTTGGGGACTGTAAGCTCCAAAAAACCCAGTATATAGGCAAGACAACAACATCTCTTTCTAGGCGTTTAACGATGCATAAGCAACAGGGCTCCATTAAGGAACATATAATCTCTTCCCACAACCAAACCATCGCCAGAGAAATCCTAGTAAACAACACAGAAATCATCGATAGATACAGCGATAGCAGGCGGCTTGACGTTTGCGAGGCACTACACATTAAGAAGTCAACACCAGCAATCAACAGCCAATTAATGCACAACTATATTCTACTCACCTCAAGACTCCGCTCCAATATAGAAGCATCAAGAAATATGGACCAATAGGCTTTCTACAATCACTTCCATTCAATACCCATTGTTTCGTGTTCTGTCTTGTGTTGATGAAAATTAATACCCTATTAATGCCACCTCACCCTATCCACCTCACTCAAATGTAGATATAAACAAATCGGAGATGTGTAAGTTCTATTCAGTTGTGTATGTGTAAAGTCTTTGAAAATGTAATAAGTTTTACGAAACGCGCTCAAGTGTCGCGTCAGACTAGAAATAAAAATGAATTTTGGAGAATTGATTTTTGAATTACCTCCAACAGTGAAAAGAAATGTACGAAAGATTGAGAAAATTCGTGTTAGAATTATTAATCTTACTTTTTCGGTCATATATAATATATATATATATATATATATATATATATATATATATATATATATATATGTCGTACCTAGTAGCCAGAACTCACTTCTCAGCCTACTATGCAAGGCCCGATTTGCCTAATAAGCCAAGTTTTCCTGAATTAATATATTTTCTCTAATTTTTTTCTTATGAAATGATAAAGCTACCCATTTCATTATGTATGAGGTCAATTTTTTTTTATTGGAGTTAAAATTAACGTAGATATATGACCGAACCTAACCAACCCTACCTAACCTAACCTAACCTATCTTTATAGGTTAGGTTAGGTTAGGTAGCCGAAAAAGTTAGGTTAGGTTAGGTTAGGTAGGTTAGGTAGTCGAAAAAACAATTAATTCATGAAAACTTGGCTTATTAGGCAAATCGGGCCTTGCATAGTAGGCTGAGAAGTGCGTTCTGGCATATATATATATATATATATATATATATATATATATATATATATATATATATATATATATATATATATATATATATATATATATATATATATATATATATATATATATATATATATATATATATATATATATATATATATATGCAATTGACAATCACAAAACACTGATCATTTTATGCGGAAAATTCACAGAGAAATATGAAATGAGGTGAACGTTTCGGCTCGTTAAAGCCTTTGTCAACACCAGACTGACTAAGGAGAAGGGAGAAGGGGGAGGATATATAGGCCGACACCTGACCAACCCATCCCTAGGGAAAGAATTAACCAAAAACAGGTATAGCTTAGCTTAGAATGGTCAAAGAGGATTAAGCGGTCAGAGAATAAGGATGAAAGATTAAAGAAAAGCCTCATGAACACACAATATATGAATATACAATTATAATGAGACATTGTAAGCCTCTCTATCAGAGTTGTTTCTTAAACTGTTGTGCAATATTATAACTTAAAAATGGATCAAGTTTGTACATACCAGTACTAACATTAAGAAGATTTGGACACTGACTGATTAGAGCAGACTCAATCAAATTCCGTTCCACGAAATCCCCACAATTGGTAATGCTTTTTGCCCCATTCCAGTTAATATTGTGATCGCATAAACTCGTATGTAGATACAATGCATTAGACGTTTGGGCAGTTCTAATACTATAAGCATGTTGTGACAACCGCAATTGTAAGGACTTTCCTGTTTGTCCAAGGTACACAGAATCACAATCATTGCAGGGAATCGAATACACACAACCTGCTGTATCAGGGGAGTTTTTTATTAAATTGGATTTGATCGTACTATTAGTGAACACCAAATTTATATTAAGTTTCTTAAAAATCAGAGACAATTTTTCAAGTCCACTCGCATAAGGTACCACCAATGAGTTAATAATTTTTGGTTTCGCCTTAGGGACGTGATTATAAAACGTACGCTTGGCTTGTACAAACGAGAAATCCAAAAACCTCTTAGGATATTGTAAACTCTTCCCAATTTCATATATTTTAGCAATCTCTTCATCAAAAAACTCAGGGCTGCAAACCCTCAAAGCTCGTAGAAACATTCCTGAAAATACTGCCTGTTTAACTTTACTATGATGATTCGAATAAAAATGAACATACGACCCCACGTTGGTAGGTTTCCTATACACATTAAATTTGAACTTTCTAGTGACTCTATGAATCATAATGTCCAAAAACGGAAGAGTACCATTCTCCTCAGTCTCACAAGTGAATTTTATTGAAGGTACCAAAGAATTGAGTTCATTAAGAAAAACTATCTGGTCTTTGTTGCACGGCCATAAGCACAAAATATCATCAACATACCTAAACCAAACTACATTAGCCGGGATAATCCTGGATAAGATTTTTGTTTCAAAGAATTCCATATACAAATTGCTTAAAACTGGGGACAGGGGATTGCCCATCGCCATACCAAATGTTTGTTTGAAAAATTTTCCATTAAAACTAAAATAATTGTCTTTTATACACAATTTAATAAGTTCCAATACTTTATTGGTCTGCAAGCTCAAATTATATTTAGGCAGTTCCTCACGTAGAAATTCTAACAGATCATCAACAGGAACTTTAGTGAATAAAGAGGTCACATCGAAACTTATAAGTTTAAAATCAAAATTTAAATTCAGTGTGGATAGCTTATTAACTAAGTCCACATTGTTTGTCAAGTGTGAGTTGGAAATAGTACCAACTATAGGGGACAAAACTTTGACTAACCACTTAGAGAGTTTATAAGCCGCCGAACCAATTGAACTAATAATCGGCCTTGCCG